AGTTAAAGACCATCCTACATAGGTCGGTATATGGGGGAATACCTACGTATCTACAAGCTATGAAGAAGTACGTCAACATCCTCCACCCATTTGGCACTAGCTGCCCCGGATACATGTTATACTCGACCAAGAATGCTAAGAAAAAGGGGTGCAGGGGCCACCTAAAACCCGCCTTCAAAGTGTCCCTAAAAATAACAAACTCCCCATCCCGAGCTATGACCATCCTATCCCCAAGTTCAGGACTCCTGATGTCACAGCCCGAAATTATCCCATATTTCCGAGCACTTGCAATAGCTAAATGTTCCTTAAATTTACAGGGAAGGTCGGATAGGTGAAGGGGGTCGGGACCGATTGAGCTCGAGGCTGAACATTGATGGGGATTGCCATGGGAACTATCGATCCTCCTTGGTCCTCAGGATTTGTTCCGGAAGACGAGGACGAACTATCGCTACTACTCGACAACATCCTATCCCGAGGATAAAACTATTCTATTCTAAAGAAATAACTTAAGTTCTCGAGCTCTTACCTTAATACTGGATCTCGATGAAGGCCCAAAGAGTTACTGAGGGTCGAAAGGTAAAGAATGAATTGGAGAAGAGGTATTTATAGGCCCTCATGGGGTGGAAGACGAAGAGTCGCATCCTTAGCCCTTGATCCTGCCACTTGTTGCGCATCTGTAAGACTACCTTTAACCGCCATTTTTAACCAGGGCTTACGTCATCATGACAAAGGCCCTAGGGCATGTCAGGTATACACAGATCCCCTACTTACGCTTGATTAAATCGATGACACGAACTATCCTCAGGCTCCTAACTTCGTCATTATATTCCCACCCCGAGCTTATATGCATCCACGCCTGACTCTCGAAGCCCTTGGAGTGGATGCACGGAGGCCAATGATGTGGTCGTTATTATACCACCTCGAGCACGAGCCCTGTCAAGGCTTTCCCTTTTCGATTATGAGACTCAAAGTCCTCGAGCTAATGTCCTCCTCGAGATACCTCGAGGACGAACCCCGCAAAATACCACCATCATAACCCAAGTCCTTGGGATTTGAGGCCTCGGGATATTTACTTGGGGAACTCCGACGTATTCCTTAACCAAGCTTTGTCTGTCCTCATTCAGGAAGATTCTTAATTCTACGCGGACACCCCAACCTAGGAATCTTGGATCATAAAGGAGTCTTATCTTTTGTAACACTTTAAACAAGGTAAGTCCGGACTCCTACTTATACCGCAATACCTACTCCTGAAAATAAGGAGATGAATCCTACTTGAACTACACTACCCACTACTATAAATATGGCTCTCTCCCTCATTATCAAGGTATGTTCTTACATATATACATTCAGCATATATACTTTATAAGATTCCCTTTCTGACTTAAGCATCAGAGGGGCAACGAGGACACACCTCGACGCCTTCGTTTCAGGTACCGGAAGAGGATCAAGTTCGTGCTCGTTTGCAGTCGTCAAGCTCGGAATATTGCAAGTGCGAATTTTTGGTAGCATCACTAGGTTTTTCCCCCAAAATTCACTTTAGTTTACAAATGTGACATTTAAATAAAAATTTGTACAGTAACATAAATATCAAAAGTGTAGCATAATTAGATGAAAGAAAAATACATGTTGTATATATTTTATGAGTCGAAATAATATTTAAGTTTTCAATAATTTTTTAGATAAGTTACTTTAAAATAAACATATGACACTGTAAAAACAAGAATTGTCTAAAATATATATATTTATTAAGACAAATATAGTCGATATTCACAACGTCAAGGCACATCATTCTATTTTTTATTATCTTTATTTAGAAGCGATTTTGTAGGAAATTTTAATTCTAACCCTAATCAACATGTAAGAACTATTACAACCAATGTTTTAAAAATGGGGCCGGACAGTCCGGTTCAACTGGAAAAATTGGAAACTGGGCCTAAGTCAAGTCCGGTCCAGTCCGATCTGGTCCGGTTTGTCTCATAAACCCTCTAATCTAAAACCTGCCTAAATAACAGTAAAACTGGCCGGTTTAGACAAAATTCGTGACCCGCCACCGGTTCAATGATTCATAATTAAGTTATTAACAAATTGAAATCTCAAATCTGTGAAAACTGGAAGTCTCTCTCTTCCCCATGCCATAGAATCAA